TTCCCTACTCCAGAAACAAATCAAGCTAAGCTAATACACAGAATAATTTTGCATAAAATAGCTATGTACATACCTCAGTGCAATTACCAATAGCAGCACTGGAACTGCCAATCTGTCAAAATTCTACTGAATTGATAGTAAATGCTAAGATATGGGAAAGATGGTTGCATCCCAGTAGTAGCTCTTCCTTCAGTGTCCATAATAAAACTTCCTAGATCTTTCTACAGAACAGTACCCACCACCAGCATATAAACTTACTATCGATAACAATCTTTTCTTTATCCTGAGAATACACCAATGCCACTTCTACACATCCACCACTGCAGGGAAATGGAAAACCAAGAGCTAAGACCATGTTTTCCTACCTCCTACAGAGAGGGTACAGTCCTACTATAACAGGATCGTTGGACTTACATCCAGAACAGTGAGCGCAGGCAGAAGTTTGACATCCTCTGAAAGGCACTGCAGTTTGTTTGAGGCGAGTATCAGCTTGGTCAGATCTGTTTGCTCCCACCAGCGATCCGCCGCGCCAAAAGAGAGGTTTTGATGAGCTTCCTCTGGAGTATCCAAATTTATCCGCCACACATGTTGAGGCACTACATACACAAACACACACGTGTCAACTAGATTATTCTGATATTTACTCTCAAACTTCCACTCTCATCGTGCTTTTCATATACACATATACACACAGTCAACTGGTTTTCTAGAGAGGTTTTTCTAGAGCTGACAATAACAAGCTGATGGAATCTGCTAGCAACAGCCAAAAGTAAGCTGAGCTGCAAACAGATGGCAGCAAATATTCATTGTTGTTGCTGCTCCCTATTTTTGCTGTCCTGCCTGGATGACACTGCAAAGCACAAACCCAAGGCACAGGAGGAACACGAAGCCCGCGGAACGGGCCAGCTGCAAACCACCTGCAAACACGGCGCCTGTTCCCCCAGCCGAAGGGTCGTGCGGTTTTCAGAGGAGCCGAGAGCTCAGCACAAGCGCAGCCGCCTTCCCCAGGCTCCC